ACCCTTAGCAGGATGCAGCGCACCCTTCATGCGACTCGCCGAATATCTCACGGCGCTTCGCGCTTGGTGATGTGAGAGCCTGGTCCGGTGAGAACCCGGCGTGCTCCGTTCCGGCTTTGTAGGGATGCGAGGTCAATGGTCTGAAGACTACGGCATGCACGACTATGAGTACACCACCCCCCCCCGCTCGAGCCAGTTATTGGTCCACCACTTGATAATTTGCTCACTCAAGCAAGGTCGCGGTTTGCTTGGTCCTAAACATGTGTGGTACCATATTATTAACAATGACCGCACAGAAATCAGGGGAATCTTGTATCCATGTTCGTGTAGACAACCAAACGACCTCGAACTTCCGGTCTGACGCTTAAGCGATCCTTGAACGTTTGCATGGCGTTGAAACTGGGTTGACACGACGCACTTTTGAGGGGAAAACATGTGAAAAAAAAAATACAGGGTTGTTCACGGAGTAGGACCGCTTCGCGGAGCGTTTTTTTTTGTTATTTGAAACTATCACGGAGCGGTGCGTAGCGATCTATCCGAGGGGAAAAGTGTCACGGAGCGGATGGCTTTTTGTTTTTCGTATCATAGAGTGGAGCGGAGCGTTTTGTATTGAGTACCGTTTTTGGACGGAGCGTTATTGTTTACATCGTACAATGAATCGCGCGAAACCGTGGTCTTGGGGACGATGCACCGTCAGAAAAAAACGTCGAAACCGCATGGAAATCCGTGCAAATCGACGGATTACCTGCAATTTCGTGAATAAAGTTGGGTTTGGTACACCGAAAACCGATTTTCTCTCAAGGTGTGCGGTGCTTGGAGGCCGCCGGTGACACCGTTCGCGTTCTCGCCGCTAGGACAGCCCAAACGGAAAAAAAAAAAGTCAATCAATCAATCAATCGAGTATTCATAAAGGGACTGCTCCCCACATCGATACCTCCTCGACTCACACGTTCGTGCAACACGTGCAGCAGCAGAGTATTCCTCAACTGCCTCTCGTCGAAACTTGCCAGCACCTACACCTAACACTACCTTTGTAGCACCAATTGTCCACATCGATACCTCCTCGACTAATACGTTCCTGCAACACGTACGTACAACAGCAGAATATCCGACAATTCTTCACTTGCCTCTCGTTGAAACTTTCCAGTACAATAATAGCACCTTGGTAACACCAGACGCCTCATGCATTCAACCAAATACGCCCCCATTTTTCACCCAGTCAGATTCGACCTCGACAAACACTTGCTCTTGCGCACGAGCGGCTTGGACAGATGCAGGGCTTTAGCCTTCCCAACACCAAACACCATGACTCCGTGGGAACAAAACCGCCACCTCGTGGGAAACCGTGACTTCAGTTGTGTTGCGGTTTTATACGCTGTTGCGTGACGGAGTAGCGCAAACACTCCGTGTCAAAAACGGGTGTACGGATTATTGGGAATCCCCACGGAGCGGAGCGGTGTCAACCGCTCCGCTCCGTGGAACAAAAACTCTCCGTGAACAACCCTGAAAAAATCTACAACAATTCCTGATTGACCCAGAATGGCCGCGGAACCCTTTCCCCGACGATTCTTCGAACAGTTTCCCTCATTACATACACAAATAAAGGTTTCCCTCATTTTCACAACTTTTCATGAAGGAAGGCGAACCGACCGCTGTTGTATCTCACCGTGTAGAGGACACCTCCATTCTTGATCGCCTGTTGAATCTTCTCCCTCGGCCCGGGGTAGTACCGGACCTTGCTGAACAGCTCATCTCGTTCTTGCTGAAAAACAAATGATGAGGCAAGAAGTTTTAGTCAAATCAATCGAGTGAATCCATGCCACATGGAAAAAAAGCGGTAATGGTCGCAACGAGAATTCGATAAAGTGAAACCATGCCACCTCGAAACACGCCCACGCGAGACAGGCAAGCGGTTACCGCCGCCCGAAAAGCTTACAAGAGCTACATATCTTCTACGCGGATGCAAGAGGGGAAAAACAATTGGCACGAACAATACTCCTAATAGTCATGGGGGGAAGTAACGTACGCCTGCCGTGTCCAGCGGAAGCCTGACACACTGAGCAAACCTTTGTACTCGTCCGCAACCATTGCATTTGACCGCGTCTTTTGAGTCACTACCCAAACAACCAACCCCCCCCCCCCCCCCCCCCCCCCCCCCCCCCCCCCCCCCCC